ACAAAAAGAACGATGAAGATGAAAATAGTGCAAAACATTCATTGAATATTAACATCAAATCATCTTATAGTCTTTGACAAAAACATAAATGAAGATGAGGATAGTCCAAAACATTCATTGAATATTAACAACAACTCATCTCAAAGTCTCTAACAAAAAGAACAAGGAAGATGAAAATAGTGCAAAACACTCATTGAATTTTAACAACTCATCTCAAAGTCTCTAACAAAAAGAACAAGGAAGATGAAAATAGTGCAAAACACTCATTGAATATTAACAACTCATCTCAAAGTCTCTGGCAAAAAACAACAATCAAGATGAGGAAAATCCAAAATGTTGAATTTTAACAGCAAAGTATCGGAATGTCATAAAGAAAAAGGACAATGAGAATAGTTAAAATATTTATTGAACCTTAAGAATAGAATCTCATACAAAACATTTTGAATAAAATGTAACAAAAGAAAAAATATTTAATAAAATTTTGCTTTATCGTTTGAAGACTCGGAACTACTTAAGTAGATTGGTCCAGTCGTAAAGATGAGGAAAATATTTTGTGGGAATAATCTCTGTAGATTAACATTTATTTGACCTTTCTCAAGCCACGGCATTTGTTAGAATCGAAAAATATTGTTTTTTATTGATTTATATTGTTCATACATTATAAAATCGATCATCGACTTTTTAACATAGTTATCTGGACTTTGTTTGTCGCAATTATAAAGATTGTAATTGTGCTTACGTCACTGATATCTGTATATTTTTTTCGTTTTTTGAATCTTTTAAACTATTTTTTATCTTTTTAAAAACCTATTTGGGCGGGGGTTAGAAGCACAGTCACAAACATTGTATGGGCTCCCTCAGTTGCTTAACCTCTGTTGTATAGACTCCCCCAACTGGTGGTATGTGCTCTCCCTACTTGCCTTCTATCTGATTAATGCGCTTACCAAGTTCCTTTCCATTGATTGTACGGGCTTCTCCTTATTGTCTATTGCTTTTTCTATCAGTCCCTCTATTTGCCTTCCTTCTGTTATGTGCCTTCATGCATTTGCCTCCCATCTAGTATATGGGAACCTCTCGATGAACCTCCACGATTTCCGTGTTGGGTTTTTTTATTGAATACCAGCTCTCGACGCTGAGAAGCTCCCCAAAGATATAAATATGAGGTACTACGAGAAATAAAGAGAGACGCAAAATAACAGTTTTACCATTTTATTAACATGAACAATATAAGAGAGACAACAAAATATTGTATAAACATGATGCCCACAAAGAGTGTTTACGGGGGGTAGATTGTTCTAGTGCCACGTGCCATGCCTCTTCCATGCCTCTTTCCCTTTAACTCAACTCTCCAATTTTTTTTGGTTCACCACAGCTGTAGCCTATTGAACTCACAGCTCTTTGTGTCCAGTCACTGAATCTAACCAATGTCATTATCCACTAGGCCGGTGGACTAGTCCAACCCTTACCTCACAGTCGGTGTGGGGGGGTGTAAAACGGTAGTGTCAGAGCTATGCCGTCCGGAACTTCGTTCCTGGTAGGGCCGCCCAAGGCGGACAGGTCTGACACACGCCGGCTAACAAGGGCTCTGGTGAAAATCCAAGGAGCGTCTGCATCGGCAACCGGCGGCTTCTGGTCGTTCCTGTCTCTGCGTCTGTGGGAACCCCGCGGCAAGCAAGAACGTTATCCGAGTAGGCCTGGGTACCCTACTTCTGTAATTTATCCCAAGAATCTTCTTCTCACAACAGGAAGAAGCCGGCTCAATCCGCCCAGGGTGAATGCCGCATCAAGTACAAGTAAGTAAGGCCGGTGGACGAAATAAAGGGTTCGTTCGAAATTCTAATCGCCTGAAGAAGTCCGGAGCGTACAACGGCCGAAACGTTGGGAATATGGCAATGAAGGTGAAGATAACAGTTCGAATAGTGTAAATAATGTGAATAATAATAAGACCTCATCTCAGAGATATAGACTAGGGGGCGATAACCTTTTGATGACTATGTGCCAATTTAGGGTTTTAAACAGCATACATATTTTTATACAAGTGAAGGTCAATATTTCTGCAATATTTCTGCAATATATTTTATATAGTAATATATAGTATATATACTTTAGTATATATTAAAATTGAAACAGATAAATATCTTTTTTGTGTTGTAGTATTTATTGGTACTGATATAATTTGCGGCTGCGTGCCATTGAAAATGTTTTAAAAGTCCATAGTTTAGAGCAGGGGTCGGCAACCGTTTGCTCACTATGTGCCGACTTAGGGATTTAAAATCATTTAGTGTATCAACAGTATACGTATTTTTATACAAGTCAAGGTCAAAATACTTGTTATACAATGTATTTTATATAGGAATATATACAATATGTAAATTACAATAATAGAAATAAACTCTTTTAAAAGTTTTTTTTTTTATTTTAGTTTTTATTATTAATGGGAGTCCGAGTGAGCAGTTTTGAAACAGCTAAATATCTTCTTTGCTTTTTAGTAGTTATTGGTTCGGAATTCGTGATGTCATTTGCGGCTGCGTGCCATTGGAAATTGCTTGGCGTGCCACGTGTGGCACACGTGCCGTATGTTGTCGACCCCTGATATAGATTGATATCACAGAGTGATTGTGATTATTCGAGAAGATTTCTATCGTTGAGTCAAGGTGCAGTAATGGATATCGACCTGGAATTGAATTCCCGTGAAGTTTGATACATTCACTTACGTGCAAATACCTTTGAGAAAGGCATGAACATCACTTCTTCCTACTCTAACTTTACGTAAAAAGTAGGATAGTCTGTCTCCGATAACTTTGCGGGGATTCAATCGGTCTAGGAACAGGATAATTCCAAGCTTAAATTCAACCGAGTGGTCGGCGACTATTTAGTGGCTCGCGATCCGCAGAGGATGGTAAGTGGAATCCTATCAGAAAAAAAAAAAAAAAAAAAAGCAAGAGGTGAACTCCTCGGCATGAACAGTCATCGACATGTGAGTTAAATTTCTTTGCATTGACTTACGTGCAAATACCTTTTGGAAAGGTATGATCCATCTCTTCCGCCCCCAGGACAGCCTATAAATAGCCTCGGCAACCGGCAATTGGCGCGATGATTACGGCTACACGCCTGAAGAGATGACCAATCAGGGAGGCGGTCCATCCTACAGAAGTGAGAAGGCCCTGGAACTAAACGTTATGGTCGGACCACTGATTAATACTTGGAGAAGTTCAACAAGTGTCTTGGTGTGGACGTTGCTAAGCAACAGGCATAAATCTTAGACTAGTTCCCTAGGGGGCTAAGGGAATTAACTTACCTGGGTTATCTGACCGCTAGGGAAGGGCTTTTTATATAAATCCCTACACTTCTCGACTCTTCATTGTCGAATGATGACTTGTGACTAAGGCCAAATGAACCTAGAAGCGATTTTTTGAATATCAACGGCACACGGCCCGATCTACAACAGACGCCATTTTCCAAGTAATGTTGGTGCTTTGAGCAGTTTATTTTATAAGTCTTTGCTTCGATACCCTGTAAAAATATATTCTTTAAAAAATAATAAAACCAATACGAGATACGAGAATGTAAAGACAATTAAATTGATATATACGAAAAAAATTCACGAAGCTAGAAAACTTAAGGAAGTCGATAATGGCCATTTAGCTTTTCCTTCTCCTAACTAGTAATATCTGACTATATTTCTGAGATGAGGTATTGTAACTATGTACAATATTTACATCGAAACATCGTGAATATGGAAATAAACACGAGGACAACAATCCAAACAATGTAAATTGTTACAGTACCTCACATCGGACGAAATGTTGTGAATATGGCAATAAAGATGAGGACAATAGTCCAAATAGTGTAAATAATGTGAATAATCATAATACCTAATATCATGGATATAGAACGATGTAAATAGTGTCAATAGTTACAGTACCTCATTTCAGGAATTTAGGCAGATTTTGAAGAAGACCTGAGTGTACAAAAGGCCGAAACGTCGTGAATATGGAAATAAACATGAGGACAATAATCCGAACGATGTAAATTGTTACAGTACCTCATCTCAGAAATATAGACAGATCCCGAAGAAGACCGGAGCATACAATGGCCGACAAGTGAATATGGCAAGATGTGGGTAACTGTCCGAACGATGTCAACAGTAACTAATTAGTAAATAAATAAATAAAAACATTGTCAGCATATTTTGCACTTTTGTATTAGATCAACCACATACGCAATGACTTTAAGGAAAGAAATGACCAATAAGTAATATTTATGAACTCAAATATAAAGAAGTAATAATTTGTTTTATTAATCCGTTAGGTCCGATGTGCCTTAACTGACTTGGCCACGAAGAACCTTTGCCGATCAAGCAAGGCTGAACAGTCCTTTTAAGCGAAATCCTTCTCGTGATAGACTCTCGAAATTTAATATCTGCTCCGTTTCGTATCCAAACATCGTGCCCGAGTCGGTTAAAGCAGTTAAAGCCGGTTCCCTGTGCCCAGGAGGACGCAGGCTCAAATCATACCTGGAAGCGCATATTGTTTTTTAATAAAATTTCTCGGATATTGAGGTCGGTTGACGAAAATAAATAAATATACTGTTTAATAAATAAACGGGGCGTCTACTCAAACAGGAGCATCCACTAAATGTAACGTTTAACGTGATATAAGTCAGATATATATTTTTCTGTAATCTCTATAAAGAAGGGCGATTCATTATGCCAGTTTCAATTCAGTGATTCGTTGAAAAGAAAGGCACGTGTCATTGAAAGATAAGATTTGAAATTTACGACGAGGCACGAACACAAGGACGTCCATTTTGTATACTAAAGTGTTTCCCTTTTTGAAAGCGTATTTTTTTACCCCTTCCTAACAGTAACCCAGAAAACTAAAAGCAGTAAGAAAAAAGGTCTCTCTGATGAATCTCGACCCACACTTTGCTGATAACCCCGAAAAATGCCACAATGAAATCAGCCTTAAACGAGAGGCGCAAAAAAGAATGGGTCTTATTCATAATGGAGTTTCCCCGCACTTATGTCGGTTATCTAAAGAATAGCCATTATTGGAAGAGAAAATGATAGATATGAAGGGTTTAAGAGAAAAGTGAACAGATTCAAGGAAATACACAGAAATAAAATGAAAGACATATGAAATTATTGATATATGGAGATAAACAGATACATTGGTATGGATAAACTTGTATAATTAAATATGAAATTTGAGATATTAAATGAAAATTAAATATATTATATTACGCAATACGATCAAAATGAGAGCTAGCTAGATATGACCAGACTGTTTTGTGTGTGTGTATATATATATATATATATATATATATATATATATATATATATATATATATAGGTGTCCATAAAGTTCGTGTGCACTTTAATTTAAAATTTTGAAAGCTTGTATATATATATATATATATATATATATATATATATATATATATAAGGTCAGCCAATCTAACAGTGATCTCATCTCACAATCCTCACACCTGCTCCATATGTGGCCTCCTTTGTAAATCACTAGCGGGTCTTAAATGCCACTTAAGATTAGCGCACAAAATTTCATAACTGAATCAATAAGCTGGCAGATCCTCATACGTCGAAACCGACGGGAGAGTCCATTATATATATATATATATATATATATATATATATATATATAGTGAGAGACAGAGAGAGAGAGAGAGTTGAATGAAGATAGATAGGTGCGACCAGACTGTTTTAGATAGATAGATAGATAGATAGATAGATAGATAGATAGATAGATATGAATAAAAACATCATATATATAAGCAGGTAGATAGATACAACCACACTGTTTTAGATAGATAGATAGATAGATAGATAGATAGATAGATAGATAGATATGAATAAAAACATCATATATATAAGCAGGTAGATAGATACAACCACACTGTTTTAGATAGATAGATAGATAGATAGATAGATAGATAGATAGATAGATAGATAAGAATCAAGATGTGATTTCATTTAGAGATAGATATGACCAGACTGTAATAGATAGATAGATAGATAGATAGATAGATAGATAGATATGACCAAACGATGATAAAGAGGATCTATTGAGAGATAATTTTTAAATTTTGTAAAGCGTTTGTCATCTTTACGACTTATTTCTGAATACACACGTCTCTCTCACACGTAAACAATCAATACAAAATCCTAATAAGACACTCGAGAGCTTCGAAAATCTTTAAGACGCGGATTTAATCGGGTGAAAGAACTTGAATCCAACAACATGGCTGCCTCGAAGTCTGCGATTTCTTTTTTTTTTTTTTACTTTTCGCGCTTCTAAACTATATATAATAACCTCTACCCAAAATGCTGAGGCAGTTTGGGGGATGAATTTTGTATTGGTATAAGTTTTCGTCTTTTACAAATTGCATCATAGAACATTTCAAATCTCCCAAAATGAGAATAAGCGGGTCTTTACAACGCTATATACATGTGTACATTTAAAAAGGGTTCGGAATAGCGAAAGATGTCTTTCAAAAACTAAGCAACATATTAAGACAGGAATAAAAAAAAAAAAAAGAGTGCTAAACTGCTATGTCATAGGTACATAAGTATCTTCTCGTATAGCAATGAATGCTGGGTAATTTCGTTACAGATAAACTCGAAGAAACTTTAAATCAACTTGTAGAGTTGAGTTAAAAGGAAATAACTGAGACATTCGGAAGAGGCATGGTACGTGGAAGTAGCACAATCTACCCCGGTAAACGAAATAAAGAGCACGGTTCTAAATTCCAATCACCTGAAGAAGGCCGGAACGTACAATGGTCGAAACGTCGTGAATATGGCAACAAAGATGAGGACAACAGTCCGAACAATGTAAATAATGTAAATAACTACAATACCTTATCTCAGAAATAGAGACAGCTTTTGAAGGGGAATATGACAATAATGATGAGGACAACAGTCCGAACAATGTAAATAGTGTAAATAATTACAATACCTCATCTCAGAAATAGAGACAGGTAGCGCCACAATTCTTTGATATTCTATATGTACAACACAGTTGCAAAATTACTTTAAAATTTTTGTGGTTTTTTATCGGGGTGGGTGTGACAGTACGTTAAATTAAACATTGCTAAAATTCTTTTAGGCGTAGCTTCATAAGCCAATAGCCAAATAAGATGATTTAGATTGGAAGATCCTGTTTATGTGGAGAAACGGGGAACTGCGAGGAAACCTTGACATATTTCGTCAGAATATTAAAATAATCAAGAAGTCTCTATACTGACCACAAAAGGCTTGCTTATGGATAAGAAATGAGTTCAGTGAATATACACAAATAGAAAGAGGCGTAAGACAAGGATGTGCCGTCTCACTTAATATATTGCGCACCCAGTGAGGATCGAACTCACTATTCAGTCGTGAGACAAGCTTACTAAACATTACACCACGCCGAGGTGCCCTAAAAGTTATTTTCTTAGCGTAGCTTAGATGTGACATTAGGCCGAATATAAAGGTCACCCAGTGAGGATCGATCTCACTACTCATTTGTTATTGTTCTAGCGAGACAAGCTTACTAAACATTACACCACGTCGAGGTACCCCTCCCCTCAGCTATGTGTTAATTAGTTTGACTTGAACAAGTAAATTATTATCTAAAAAAAAAATCCCTATAATCTAAAATATTTTCTGGCTTTAAATAACCTACAAAAGGTTGATAAGCCGTAAAATATATCAATCCAGCTAAGCAGCGTTATGGTAAACAAGGGAATATATCCGTTACTTACTGTTTAATTATTTCTTTTATTTTCAGATCTTTATTTTTTTTTCTGGGGTGTAATGGATATCGGCCCGGAGTGAGAACTCGAAGAGCCGAGTTCGAATTCTAGTCAAGTTTGTTAGATTCACCTGGGAAATTTATAATTCCATCTTCTAGCCTGCACCCCCCCCAGCTATGGGTTGAATAGCAGGACAGACTGGGTTCTTTAGCTTTGGTTAGTAACCAGTCTACCGCAGAATGAAATGACGACTTACTGCGGGAAAAAAATCTGTCTCGTCAGTCATGTATCGAAAGATACATGATCGTCCAAGCGTGTATCACGTGTGGCACTTAACTGATATCATTTTATACAAGTTTTCAACCGAAATAATCTTTAGACTTCCACGGATGCATGGCAATTTAAATGTTGCTTCATTCTTTTTCTTTTCCTTTATAGACAGACATTTTATCATTTTATTTGATTTCTCTTTTATTTTTATTCGTCTTTATGAATTTTTAGCGCTTATCTGGTGAATAAATATATCACCCATAAGAAATTCCTTGTGACCTGATCTTTTTATTTAAAGCTATTCTTCCTCTTTTATTTTCGGCGTTCGTAGTGAAGATAATTTACTGAGTAGCGATTTTCCAGTTTGTAGTTGCCTTACTGCTCGTTGGTGTATGGGGAATAGATTTCAAGATAGCACGCTGGTAGCAGTTGGTGTTTTCTCAAGTAGGAGATAAGAATGAAATTACAAACAATATTGTCCATAAAACAGCATTTGATTGTTTTACCAAAACTAAACGGGGACGATGTATAAAGAAGTGAGCATATTGAGGTGTTAAAGAAACGTCGAGAGGAAAACCTTTTATGCCAATGCGTTTCGTCCCTTGGGGAGTTTCGTTCCCAAAGGAATGAAACTGCCTTGCATTAAAAAAAAGGTTTTCCTTTTGTTATTTCTTTTATTAATATTGTCTTTACAGATACACTTATTTCGATCAGAATTTTACATGTCAAGAAATTTTTAGTCCTAGTGAAAATGATAGCAGTTTTAGTTTGTTTTTTTTTTTGTTTTTTTATTTTGACGAATTTTTCTGTTTTTCTTTCCTGCGTTCTAATTGGGTTTTCTTATTCTCCTCCTCCTCCTCCCCCTCCCCCTCCCCCTCCTCCTCTCCTCCTTCTCCTTCTTCTTCTTCTTTTTTCTTTCTTTCATTTGAGTTCTTTTCTTTGACAGCATCATTTTTATATTTCTTTGCATTTTATTTATCTTATCATTCTTTTCCTTTCTTTCTTTCCTTCCTTCTTTCTTTCTTTCTTTCTTTCTTTCTTTGATTTTTGACTGTTTCATGCATTTTTCTTTTTTTTTTCTTTGGTTTCCTTCTTTTTAATTTCTTTCTTTACGTCTTTTTCTTCTATTTTAACTCTTTCTTTCTTTTATATTTTGACTGTTTTTTTTTTTACATTTTCCCTTTTCTTTCTTTCTTTTATTGTTTTTACTTTATTTCCTTGTTTTTTCTTTTTTAATTTTTCATTCTCTCTTTCTTTCTTTCTTTTCTTCGTTCATTCTTTATTTGACTTCTTGTCCATTTCTTTGTCTTTCCTTTCTGTTATTTCCTTCTTTTTTACTTTTTTTACGTTTTCTTTCGTTTAATTCGTTAATTCCTTTTGCCTTTCTTTCTTTCTTTCTTTCTTTCTTTCTTTCTTTCTTTCTTTCTTATTCATTTTATTTATTTTTCAAGTCTTCTGCTTCATCTTTTACCTTGATACCATTTTCCCTTACCTTATCACATCCGTCTTCAGACATTTCCTTGCTGAACACGTCGTAGTCGCGCAATCATATCTTTCATTCCCATGCACTTAACGCTTTACTCATTCTGACCAAATCGTTGACCGCCCATCAGAAGTCAGTGGTTTACACAAGTAGATATTTGGCTCAAGTCCAACTCACGTATTCCATTTCAATAAATGCATCCATTACTGGAAACGCTTCAGTAACTCTTTTAATAAACCCAACACGAACCGACAGACGAGAGATAACATTTGTTATGTGATAATCGTTCTCAGTCAAAATACTTGTGTCCATTTGTTAGAAATCTAAATCTAAATTACAGTAGAATCGCTCATATCCGGAATCCCTCATATCCGGAATCCCTCATATCCGGAGTGCATCACATACAGAATCCCTCATATCCGGACATGATTTTGATGTGTATATTTGAACTCTTTGTGTTATATGTAACTGACTTGAAATTTCTGTTTTTCAAGAAATTTACTTTGAATAATTGCTTATGCTAATTTCACCCTAATGGCTTGTATTGGTGAAAAAAAAAAGATGATGGGAATAAGAGGAAAGGATGACAACGAGACACATCTGCAACAAGATAGCAATGAAATGCATGACTGTGATGAAACCTGGACTGAAATTGAAAAAGCTATTGAAAAGGTTGTCAGTTTTATGGAAAGAAAGCCAGCATTCAGCTATGACGATTGCAATAACGCACGCAGAGTTAAAGTGTCTTTCTTTTAAAAATTTCAAGAACAAATGCAAAAAGAAAAAATGTGGAAAAAGTTGAGAATGACATTAGAAGAGAAAGAATCCTCATGCAACAGCGATTAAAAAATCCTCGTTACATTATTTGTTTTGCATACGTGGCATATTTAATTTAATGAATTTTCATTAACATTACATAATTTATTTATTTCTCTTTAAAATCAGTTCCGTTATATTTCACTCACTATTAGCTTATTTTGTTTACTATAAAACATTGAAATGAAATGTTAAACCTTATTTCAGTTCTTTTATTTTAATGTAAATATAACCCACTCATATCCGGACTTTGTAACCAATACCTCACTGTATTGTCAAAATTCGCTAACTCATTTTAGTTAAACAACAAAAAAGAAGCCATGGACGTAATCTTTTCTGTAGAAAGAATATGAAATATTTTGAAAACGAAGTGGCTCCTGTCCTGTTTAAATTTAATCACTAATACATATTTGTTAAAAGCCATCTCGTTAATAAACTTCAGGATATGAGAAATATTTTTTATTGATTATTAACAGGGTTTATATAGATCTTTTTATAGCTCTATTCCCTGTGTATTAGAATCGATTCTATCTGGAGTATAATACAGTTTTTATGTTTGGCTTGAGTATTTAAGTGTTAGATATTATAACGTAATACATAAGTCAAACATTTTCAATTAAAAAAAATAAAAACAGTTCTGGAATCTCTGAAAACAAAAAGGAAAAAAATGAATACTCAAAGTGTTACTAACATTTACGAAGTGTATTTTCCTGAAGCGAATATAACGAACCCAATTGGTATTAGAACTCGGCTCTCCGATTAACAATTCCGAGCCATTATCCATTACACCACCCGCATATCCAAGCTTGCAGCACCTGGTATTCCCAAACGGGCACCCATCTAAGTACTGACCAGATTAAACGTTGCTTGACTTCTTTGATCATACGGGAACCGGTGCTTCAACGTGATGTGACCGTAAGCGATATAAAATCAGAATAGGAATTTATGTGTGAGAAAATAAGTAGGCGTCTCTTTTTTGAAGCTTTGGGAATAATAAAATGTTTTACATTCGTTTGGTGAATAAACTTGGATTACTGTTGTAACTGACTTATCAAAAACAAACATTCAAAAAACGGAATTAGTTTAACAAGTTTATTAGCTTTTGGTACAGGGAAACAATGTACAATACAAAGTAGGGAAGAGAATGTTTAGGCGTGAGTGACTAACTGTTTTCAGGAAAAGCTACTGCTGCTACTGCTACTCCTCTTGATGTAGGACTATTTTTATTATGTCTTTCGTCCGACGGCCGAGTCCAAACATGTAAGGAAAGATTCTACCTCACGATACCTTACGATATTTTTTTCCACGGCACAAGCCTAGAATTTTCCGGTTTGTTCCAGCATTATTGCCACCGTCTATTGAAGGGATGTATTTAGTGATAGGATGGCTTAATGCACGAGGCTTTACCGGCGAACAAAAAATAGGAATTAAATTAAAAAACAATATTGTACTTAAAACAATATGGCCTTAGCAGAAATAGGAACCATATAAAAGAAGTGTGTATACTGAGGTATTAAAAAAAGAAGTGGCAAGTCGAAAACCTTTTATGCCAACGCGTTTTGTTCCTTGGTGGACTTTATCAAGTGTACCATTCCTCATGGAACGAAACGTATTGGAATAAAAAGTTTTCCTCAAGGACACATGGCACAGTGGATAAAGGCGTTGGTTAGATCCAGTGACAAGACCCAAAGAGTGTGAGTTCAATACCCGGTTAAGGCAGTGGAGAACTTTCAGAGGGAAAATTAACAGGAGATAACTGATAGCTGACATCCATGGCACGTGGAACTAGAACAGTCTACCCCAGTGAGCGAAATAAAGGGTTCAGTTCGAAATTCCAACCACCTGAAGAAGGCCGGGGCGTACAACGGCCGAAACGTTGTAATAAATATGGCGACAAAGATGAGGACAATAGTCCGAATAATGTAAATAATGTACATAATACCTCATCTCAGAAATATAGACAGACTCAAAAGTTTTCCTCTTGTCATTTCTTTTACTAATATTGTCTTTGTAGATACATTTTTTTATTTATATCTGAACTAGAAGTAGAGCCCGGCGTTGCCCAGGGATGTAACAGTAAGAGATAGATCAAGTATCGACCATCACAAAGACTGAAAAATAAAATTGACAAAGATTATTGTTTAAGGTTGACGGACACGCATGCCTTAATTATTTTTTTTACGAATTGGTCAAACCCAAACAAAAACATTGTTTTCAATCGTTATGAGTCTATCGATTGAATAGATTTTTATTATAAACAATTGTCTTTTAAATGGAATTTTTAAAGCATTCTGAATGTAAAAATAAAGAAAAAAGTGTGCAAGAAACACTACCCGCCAAAAATAAGTGAAGTTTTGTTGAAATCGGTTGAAAAATTTAGGAAATCTGATCCCATATATAAACGAACACACACACACACACACACACACACACACACACACACACACACACACACACACACACCTGGGTTTTATAATAAGTATAACTCGATATAAGTTGTCCCCCTTTCATTCTGGCGACAGAATCAGGTTTTCAAATTGATTTTGTGCAAAAACAATTGTGTTTTTCCAATTTTTGGCACTGTCAGAACCACCGCAAGGTAATTTTATGCAGTCCTGTAAAGTTTTGTTGAAATCGGTTGAAAAATGTAGGAAATCCAATCCAATATATAAACGTACAGACACACACACACAATCTGCGTTTTATAATAAGTAAGATTTTACATGTAGATAAATCCGTATTCGTTGTATAGTGAATCTAAAGTCGTTTTGAAATTTACATTGAAAAACAGTCTTTTGTTGATTTGGTAAAGGTATCAACTTATGGCATTTGTATGCTTTTTGTACAATGTGACACATGATTCGCTAGGGTAAAGAAGTCCCCCCCCCCGAAGTGGGGAAACTGGACACTTCTTGTTTATACAACATCCTTTGGGTAAAAAGAAAGCAGTATGAGGGAGATAGAGCTGGGGAGACCACGTGCTTTTTTCATTGTCTACTGCTTTCTACAACGTAACCTAACGGTCATTGGTCGAAATTCCTTGGTGGACAATTTGGGTAATCCCACAGCTGGAATTTTTCAGTAATTAGTAATAATAATTAACATCATTTACGCCTAATAAAACACGCTGATCATTAAATAATGTTCTCTCTCTCTCTCTCTCTCTCTCTCTCTCTCTCTCTCTCTCTCTCTCTCTCTCTCTAAAAATTACTACACGCATGCACAACCAAAGTTCCATTCTATGACCATAATGACGATATTTACACCCAAACTAAAAAACAAACTTGCATTCTTAGATGTCCTCGTTGAATACAGGAATAACACTTTCATTACATCATTATACAAAAAACCCATCAGCAAAAACTCGTGCCACCTTAACTTCAAAAGCGAATGTCCACTTAGGTAAAAAATAGCAGTAATAAAAAACTTTCTAAATAGAGAACACCAGAACTCATCCTCTCGACTACTCTTCCTCAAAGAACTTAATAACGTCAAACAAACACTAATCAACAACGGCTTCCCTAACCACCTTATAGACCACCAAATTAGACTATTTCTCCCCAAAGCAAGTAATAATGATAGCGAACACACAGCCAAAAATCACATACACATTTATTACAAAAACCAAATGCATATTAATTACAAACAAGACGAATCTTCTCTAAGGCATATTATAAAGAAATATACTACTCCAATTGATCCGAATAAAAAAATCAAATTTATTATCTATTATAAAAAATTTAAGACAGCCAACCTTATCCTCAAAAATAACAACACAGCAGTTAAGTCAAAATGACAAAGAACGAAAATTATCTGAGTTCAAATGCCCCTTAAGGAACAGTGTTCCTGATCAAACCGGACTCATAAATAATTACATCGGTTACACAACCACATGCTTATCCAGACGTCTTACGTTACACCTATCTGATCACAGTTCCATTAGAACCCATTTAAACACACACACAAATTTACCAGACTCCATTAGAAACATACTGGTAGAAAACACAAATATATTAACTGCATCCACCTGCAAAAAAAGACTAAAAATAATGGAAGCTTTAATAATAAAAAAGAAAAAGCCAACTCTTAACAATATTAACTACGAACAAAGCCACAATGTGCTAACCGTATTCGGAAATTAAAAACATACCTACCACACACGGATACATACACAGAAGGCACACACTCAGTTAAGCTAAAAAATCGAACCATCCTTGATAATAGCTAAAGGTATAGCCGAAAGCGCTCGGAAATATAAGACATTTGGACAGTTCTTACACACCATTTTTCCGGAAAAGAAAGTTCTTGTAAGAACACAAGAAAAAATAAATAAAAAGCTTCACCGTAGTACCTTGCCTGTCGTTTTTAATGAAACATGCATATATATATATATATATATATATATATATATATATATATATATATATAAAAATAATAAGAAAGAGCAGTAAGATTTATAATCCGGTGTTCTTAGCAATTATTTTCATAAACAAAAAACAAAAAACGAAAAAAAAAAAACAGTGCTCGACGATACAAACAGTAGAGCATAATATAATTATTTTCTTTTCTGAAAATATGATTCCATCGCTCCGGAATCATATCTTTAAAAAGAAAATAATTATAATATCTTGACTCTCCCGTCAAATTCGACGTATGAGCGTCAAGCAGATCAATTCCTAGGAAACTAACTGCCCGACATCAGCACATGAGATTTGATTATAGTAGTGAAAGTTTTGTGCAAAACCATCCACAGTTTTTGAAGGGCCGAACACTACGTGCCACAAGGTCCCCAAACGACACTCCGCAGGTTTTTGAAATCAGAGTTATTCTTCTCCTAGACTAGTAGCTATTCCAGGCTATAGAACCCAGTCTATTCTGCTATTTACCCATAGCTGGAGGGAGAAGAAGAGGATTACTATACTCAATCCAAGCCGCTATCCATTACTCCACCGTACCTCCTTTTACACACACACACACACACACACACACACACACACACACACACACACACACACATATATATATGTGTGTGTGTGTGTGTGTGTGTGTGTGTGTAATATAGAAAAATAGGAAAAGAACTCGTTAGGTAAATAATCCAAAGTTCTTTAGTATTTTTTGTTATTATTTTAAAAATAGTGCTCGATACAAAAGTAGAGCATAAATATAATTATTTCTTTAAAAATATGATTCCAACGCGCTATATAAGAGTTCTCATGTTTCAAAACAAGAGCCTAAAACTTCAATATAATTATTTGAATTAAATTGAATTAAAGTACCAAGCTCTGTTCCATCTTCAAGCGAAATTTTTTTTGGAATAACTAATTACTGAAATTTACGCGTTTTATAAGCGTATTCATTATTGAAATTACAATTACTATGGTAACGGCTAGAGCAATTGTTTAAAGAAAAGGGGCGTAAGGGTTAATAATTTGTATCAATATGTTAGTTACATTCAAAGACGTCAAGTCAAGGTATGGTTGGTGTGTCTAAATTCAAAGCGGAAGATGACATCGTCTAGTCTGGTTAAGTGTCTATGGAGATTTATTTATTTTTTTATTTTATTTTTTATTTTTTTCTGAAAGGGTTTTGTGTATATAAAAAAACTGCCATAAGTCGCTAACATTTGTTTTTTTGACGACTTCATAAAGGGTTATCTTTTTTTTTGTAGGGCATTTAAACTATTTATTTAGACTATGGAATTTAAAAAAATTATTTCATTGTTTGTTTGTTTTTATGCTAATTATTCAATGCGAAAATTTGATGATGTCGGCAAAAAAACCGTTAACTCATATCTATTGTTTAATAGATTTTTATTATCTAGAAACTTAATAATGTGTAGTTTTTCATGTAGGCATAAAGGGCATGGGTCATCCCAAGTTTATATATATATATATATATATATATATATAGAGAGAGAGA